ATATCTCAAGAATTACTCTATCGTGTCCCTAATTCCCAAACGATCTCTGCTAGCCTGCCCTCCGCTCTCTATCTGTTTTTGATTATCGATATGGCTGTGTGTGAATGGGGGTGGATGGATGAAGCGCTGTTGGTTAGGCCCGTTTTTCCCGTTTTCCCCTGCGGCCGCTGGCAACCGGATCATTGCGTGGTGATTAGCTAGGGCGGCGAGAGAGCGCGATGGAAAGATAGAGAGAGAGAGAGAGAGAGAGATCTATAGCTGCTAGAGATAAGGTAGATTAAGAGAATCCTGATGATAGGGGCGGAAATTGTCGTTGCCACTGGCAGACAGCTCGCCACCTGGCGCTAGCGCTGATTTACGCCAATTTTTCTCGGATCAGTTACGCTAATTGCTGACGTCGATTTTTCTGGGGTGTACTGTAGTTTGGGGCTAATGGGGATTTTTGATAAGACTACCAGATTTCCTTAAGGATCTCCGCTAGCCTGCCTTTTCCTCAAAAAAGATTTCTGCTAGCAGCTCGATTCCTGGAAGAATTAACATAATTTCGAGGATGTTAACCGTAATTGCGGAATTTATAGCAAGGATCTACTTTTTAGGACGTTGGAATATCATGGTTTTTGTTTAAAGGTACTCGGAAGTCAGATAGGCAAGGTCTCCTCTCTCTTTCTGTCTCTCCCTCTTTCACCCTCTCTCTCTCTCTCGCTAACTGTCCCTCTATATATCTCTCTCTCTCTCTCTCTCTCTCTCTCTCTCGGTAACTGTCTCTCTCCTACTATCTCGCTCTCTCTCTGTCTCTGTCTCTCTTCGTACAGAAATTTGCTAATTTTCCAGACCCCTCCAAGGATTCCAGAAATATTTTTCGACAAAAAATTATTGAAGTTCGATTCCAAAAAGTTTCGTGGGGCTAGATTCCCTATTAGATACCGTATATCCTGCCACCTGCTGTCATAACAAATCGACGGCTCGGCCGGAAATATCTAGATGAGAGAGAGAGAGAGAGAGAGAGAGCGAGAGAGAGAGAGAGAACGAAGAGAACCCTAGCTTTAGCCTGGGGGCATTCAGGGTCGGTGTCTAGCTTTTTCCACCCCGATCCGTATCTTTTGCCATAGTGGGGAGGGGGGGTGGCAGCAGCCACCTCCTCCTCCTCCCCTTCCTCGCGCCAATTCTTTTCCACAATTTATCATCCATGCCTGGCTACGACTACGCGCCATTCCCACGAACGGTCCCCCCTTTCACGCGAATTATCAGCCTATCAGCGTTCCTGGGCGCATTTCCGGTGTGTTAGCAGGTTTCCCTGCCCGGAACGCTTGCCGCTGACGATCGGCTCGCTGTCCTGCCATTTTTGCCACCTAGGAGCCGCTAATTTTTGGGATATTTGGAGGGTGCCATTCTGTTGAAAGAATTTCTGCTAGCCTGCCCTTTTCTAAAGAATCTCTGCTAGCCTGCCATTTCCTAAAAAACCTCTGCTAACCTGCCCCTTTAACAGACCTAAAAACTTGCGCTTCTTTTGCTTAAGCCGTATCTGCAAAAAAGCTTGTAGATTCTTGTACATTTTTCGTAGCCCCAAAAGCACGTTCCCAGATAGTAGACACGACACGACGATACGGGCTCGTAAATGGCAGATCAGCGGGAGATCGACTGGGGGTGGCGGCTTGTGCTTTTTGAAAATACCGATGCTGGGAATGCCTTTCACTAATTCTCTGGCTCTCTCTCTCTCTCTCTTCTCTCTCTCTCTCTCTCTCTCTCTCTCTCTCTCTCTAAAAGAACACCCCCTCCTGTGACAATGCGATTTTCAGTCCAATCCTCCTTGAAGATCCCGGCTGATTGCTTGATCGATTATCATCGTCTAGGCTCCCCTAGGGGCTTTTTACCTTCTAGCACTTTCTATTAGACCTTCTTTCTATTTTAAAGTGGTTTTTGGACTTGTCGGTCCCTAAAATCCATTAAAAAATCGTGGCCATGACGTCGATTTTCTTAGGGAGCGTTTCTCGCATTTTTGTGTGACGTATTTTCCGACTTTCCGGTCCCATTGGCGTGTTAAAAAAACTTTTATCGAAACCTTACTCGTTTATCGATCGAAAAGCACGTCGGCTAAAGTTCTTTTAATTCTAGCATTACCCTGAATTTTCGGAACTACTGTAGATTTGCCTTCCAGGCCTCTTTAAAGTCTGCAAAATCGCAGGGGTAATGTGGATTTTATTTAAGGGCATCGATTAATTTTTGCGATTTCGGTGCTTTTTTAATTTGGATGGAAAAAAATGAGAAAACGCAAGAACACCGACCGCCAAAATACCGACATATGGTTGACGCGAGTTTGAGCACCATTTCTTTTAACCAGCAATCTTGTCGAGATTTTTACATGTCGGTATTTTTGCTGTCGGTATTTTGTTTATTCGGGCCGTATGGTGGTCTCCTCTTCATCTCTGCGCTTCTTAGTAATTTTTTATGTCGCCTTTTTGACCTCCGTTTTTGCTATGTCGATAAATATCGTTGACTTCCC